GATTGATGTTGAAATGTCTTTGACAATGTCATAGATCCATCGATTATTTTCTTGGGTCTGTCAATTCATAGGACACTTTTATATGAGGTTTATGCATTGGAAGGTTGAACCAGTTTTATACAAGACTGTATTTGTACTCGTATACATATTATCGTAATGAATTTACGAGCGTCGAAGATTTCTGCGGTTTCTCCATCGTCTCGGTTCGCCAGGCAATACCGTGGTCAAGCAGAAACGAGTCGTCGAACGGTACTAAAAGTTATCTGCCCACCTCGGAATCATTTCAGTGTCACGAAACGTTTAATTCGAGGATGACGCGAAGCGAGACGAAGTAACTTTCTCGTATCATGTACGTTTCGTTAACGTAATCACTTCTTTTGTTCTCTTAAATTCAAGGCTACGTTTCAGTACCGCGACGAATCTGACACGGCGCTGCCACCTTAACCGTCTTCTCCGCAGATGGAATTTATTGTTCTCGAGCCACATCTTTATCCTCGGATACATCAAGCTTCCTGTGCGGACTGACAACTCGGATTTGATCGAATTAAGCTTCAGAGAAATTTCCATCTATTATTACACGCTGAATCGTATTCCTTATAATCAAGATACACTATCTATACATTGTCAAGTTCAGAAAACAATTCTCTTCTGACAGATTCACCCCTTAAAGTCCTTCCATCAAATTTTGGCTACAAAGGTTACTCAGGACTATTAATATAAAACTAAAACTGGCAAAACCCTCATCTGTCAGACTCTTTAAATCCTACTTTACAAAATTTCTCATTCATAACTATCTAGAACCCCTCAAATTTTCCCTTAAATCCTACCCCTGTCCACCAGTTCTCCAAGAATTCTCCTCGACATCTTTCAAGCTTTACCTGAACTCGACCGATGGAACAGGAGATGCCGCATCATCTTGTCCTCGATCGCGGCATCCACGGATGCAGGCCACGATGATACAAGTTCGGAAAAACGCGGGAAACAAACGCTTATGATGACTCCTCGCCGAGGGTGGCGGGGGTGGGGATAATGGGCACGAGGGAGCGTCGATTGAAAATTACAGGATCTCCCCTTCGGCCTGCGAATCGTCGACGGCGTTCCATCGTTCCCAGTCGTCCGTATGCGGTAACCATACATAATGATGCCCGGGACCCCGACGTGCATATGGGCAAACAGCAGCGTGCGTATGATCTCGGAGCGGTTACAGGTGGAAGGAACGCTCAAGCGCGCGCGGATTTCGCAAGTTTCTCCGGGACCTCGGATCGTCGATGGCTTCGATAGTCGCCTCTGACGTGCCTGAGAGTGACGGAAACATTTCATTATTCACGCGAGGGATATTATTATAATTTTTTTTGTTCCCTTCTCGACCACGGAGGTCATTAGCCACGCCATGATTATTATTGATATTATGGAAGCTGCTGAAGAAGTGTCAGGAATGTTACGACTCCGACCACTGGTGTCTAAACGCGTCCTCTGTAGGTGTGTCAGAAATTTTTTCGTGAGACTCTGGATAAATTCCAATGTCCAATCGAATTAGTAGAAATCACCGACTCCTTTGATCTATGATACTTGATCGTGTAAGATGTATCGACGGAAATCTGCGAGAATCGTTACGGCGAAGAGATACAGCCTCTGGATGATAATGAACTCCGCATATTCTTACCGTCTGTAAACATAACGGAAACGTTTGATCGTGAAGAAGAACCAGAGACAAAGTAAAGGATAACCATAAAATATCCGAACTGAAAACCAGGAGCCTCTTGATGGCTTGTCGGCACCTCCATAAAATAAGCTACCTCCCGTGTGACCAGTCCTTTCCTCCCAATCGTAAAATCCACTACCTACGTTAACTAACCGCGGGCAATAATAACCGATGATCATCCGTGACTTGTAAGAATTCACGTAATCGGCAATCGGGGAAATCATCTTGTAGCAACTTAACAATCAACGATTAAATATGTTTGTATCATATGCTTGTCTACCGCAAGGATTGTGCAACGAACAAAAAAAAAAAATAAAAAAAAAAGAAACACGATCCTATCGAGACGAATTAACTCGTCGTCTGCACGGCAGCGTTAAGCTCGAAGTTAAAAGGTTTTATCTGACCGCCGAGGGCGCGTAAAATTATCGTAAAACGGTCGCTTATCTCGGTCGTACACGTTCACGATTCAAAGTAAAAGCGGCTTATCGGCGATCCAGGGACCGGGTCGTAAAACTGGACGATCGCTTCGTGAACCGTCTCGTTGCAAAAGAAGAAGTCCCTTGTCCCCGAAATATTCACTGGTACGCGTGTCACAGTCTAGTTCGCCGGTGTAGGGGCCCGCGAGATCGAGGATAATCTTCCACAGTCTCCTTTGTCGTTCCTTCCCTCCATCCCCGTAATGATATTCCACTTTGTTAACGACGGGCACAAACTCGGTAGCCATGATCCGTTTCCACGCACCGGTGCGCGCGGCCTAACGTCGCCGTCATCGTCACGCTGGAAATCCAAGAACACGTCCGTCCCGAGGATGATGATCCCGACTTGTATCTCGCGTACTAACCAACCGACGATTCACAGCCGTTAATTCCCGCCCTGCCTCCTTGGGACGTGAACGGATCGGTCGCCGGTTGTTGCGACACACGCGACCGGCCACGCTCGATGGATCATCTGGGATTTTGGATTTAATCGTTTGGATTTAATTGTTCCCTTACGATGGTCGACGGAGGACATCGAATATAGTGATAGATTGAAGGGACGCTCGAGAGAGGTGTGCACGTTATAGATTCTCGCTTGGTCGACCTTGGTGAACTTATTAAGTTTTTACACGTGAAGTAACTTTTTTTCAGTGATTATATGTAGTTATCATTAATTTATTATTATCAATTTCGACTAAAGAAAAATGGCAATGAAACCCAATATTGTGTCGGGAGCCGCGCAGTGGAGCTTTGAGTGCCGCATGCGACTCACGAGCCACAGTTTGGTGTAGACAGTGGATGAGAGCAAATTTTACAAATTCGAGTTAATCAAGTACTTCAAGTTTAGTCAAATCGTAGGACATCTTGCTTGATAAAATTGAAATTAGATATTGCTGAATGTGTAGGAACTGTAGGAAGGAATGCAGTTGATTGTAAGCTCTAAAAATACTATTGTTCTTGAAGTGTCTAGGTCGATTAGACGAGGATCACTTTCCCACGGACACAGTATTCTTCCACGTGAAATGACGCAAATGCACCACCCTCTTGCATCGGTTTTTCCTCGACGCTGTATCTTTTATACGGTATATATATACAAATATAAGTGAAGGCCGCCGAGAGTCTGCCGATATGTTATGCTTTTGCTTCGATTTGCCATTCAAATTTCATTCACCGTCGAGTTCCTTTCGTAATGATATTTTTTTCCAAAGTTTATCATGAATATTTAGCTACACGCCATGTGGTATCAGACTCCGGGGACCGATCGCGACTTCGGGGCCCGGACTTTCCATCGGCTCTCAAAACAGTCCTTGAAAATAGGAATGCAAACACACTAGACACAACAATGCGACCTGCCGTTGTACATAAATTAATAATATCATGCAGCCCGAACGATGCATCCTCGAACGAGGAATAAATCGATTACGATCGACGTTCGATCGTCGGCCATGGTCCATCCGATTCTCATTCAAAATACCTGATTTCGAGTCGTCCACACAATAAAAAGGATAATAAAAATCGTGCTTTTATTACGGAACGATCTTTTGCCCCATTTCTAGGCTGCCTGTACCACTCGATTCTTTCTAGGACCAAAGATCCTAGGATAGATCCCTCCAGTCCTCACTGAAAAGTCATCATGGGCCCGCGTCCTGTCTCAACGTTCACTCGCAACTGGTCCACTCTTGACCCTGTTCGAGCCCGACAGTGACCCAACGTCGAGATCCAGCGATACGGTGGATCAATTAAAACGAGCGCGATCAGACGAGTTACGCGAGGAATGCGCGACCTCTGGAGAGACCGAGTCGCCTTGCACGGGCCAGGCCCCATTCTTTACCATCGCGGAAAGCCTTTCGATCTTGCGTTCGCCCGATTCTAAATTGTCCAAGGTCCAACGTCAAGGTCACGCCACGGGTCCCTTCCGAATCGCGAGGTCATCATCGCGACCGAGATCTCGCGATCCCGAGGACTGAAGGGTCAATCGTGCGGAACAACGAACCGATTCACTCGAATGAATCGCGGGCATTGTGGTAGGCTATGTCTACTCGTGAATTTCGAATGGACATCGTGATGATGATGATGTTGTGAAACCATCGGTTGTGATTAAGATTGAAGAAAAATATGTATCGGTCCGATCCTTGAACTGGAGGAACGGTGTACATACGTGGTTTCAGCGATGTCTGGTGATAGTCTCTGATTAAGATAGGCCTTTGCTTGGCTCGATCGAGAGAGTCCCATTTAGCGGTAACCAGTTGGTTCACTTAATGTGAGATCGTAATCGGGAGAAGGACTTTTTAACCCGTTAATGAACATTTGTACAACTTTCGGTATCTCCTCCGATAATTTTTTTCCCCCAGATTGTGTCGTAACACCAGTCCGGCGTGTAATAATGCATAATGTAGGACACGTTCGAAAAATAATGTTTATGTAGTATACTGGAGCATTAAGTACGATTCGTTCGATTTATATTCTGTCATCGTCGAAAGTGATTCTTCGATTCTTTGTCTTTGAAAATTGAGATACACCGATGTAACTTATAATTAGACTGCGGATGTTTATGCATTTGTAGCATCTTTTAACTTTGTAAATGTAGTAAAATCAAAGTTTTAATAAAGTTTAACACTATTATATGTTACTATCAGCATAGTAAAGCCTCTAGCAGAGATTTCAAAGGTCTGCTACATTTTGATTTTGAGACATTGGTATCTAAATTTGTTAATTTCCATAAACTTCCGCAGTTCATTTGTAATAGAACAATGAAAATTTCATTTACGTGATATGTAAAAATGGAGAAATATCTAAGAACTCGATTCGTTTCATGATTGCAGCTCAAAGTACCACTGAAAGTGAACTTCTCGGCCAGGCCCAGAGATGTCACGGTGTCGATCTCGAAGAAGCATCTCACCTGTGGCGTGAAGGGCCAGCCACCAATCATCGACGGTGATTTTCCGCACGATGTCAAACTCGAGGAGTCCACCTGGGTGATTGAAGACGGGAAAATGTTGCTGATCAATCTGGAAAAGGTGAGCGATCGGGTCTGCTTTTTTTCGTGGCCTCCGCTAGAGCTACACGACCTTGCCTGTAGAATGATTCCAAAGATGCTGTCGCCGTTCCTACCATAGATCCCGACCGAAGATACGAAATCGCGAGGAATTCGGTGGCTTGACGTGGCCATGAACGATCAAAATAATGTACGAAGATTCTGCCGAAGGTCTAGCCGAGCCGTGACCGTTTAACGACCGTCCGTTTACTCCTAATTTAATTAACGATGTTCATTCGGTCTTATTTTATTACCGAGCCTTTCACAGGCTGGTAGCGATCGGACCAGATTTAATCGTGTTCTTTTGGAGCCTATGATCCCGCTGCAGACACGTTTTAACGCCAGGAAGATCGTCGGAGGCGTCGGGTTTCCCGCGCACGAATTCTCCTAGAACTCATCTCCGACTTTTACTCCCAGGTAAACAAAATGCAATGGTGGGCTCACGTGGTAACCAGCGATCCGGAAATCAGCACGAAGAAAGTGAATCCGGAGCCGAGCAAGCTATCCGATCTCGACGGTGAAACCAGGGGCCTGGTGGAGAAGATGATGTACGATCAACGACAGAAACAGCTAGGTCTGCCGACCTCCGACGAGCAGAAAAAGCAGGACGTCATTAAAAAGTACGACACAACAATTGCGAATCGGCGGATGGTTCCATGTATCAACGTCGTAAGGATATACGGTTTCGAGATATTAATCGGAAACGTTCTCTCGAATCCTTTCGCAGGTTCATGGAGCAGCATCCAGAGATGGACTTCTCCAAGTGCAAATTCAATTAAATCTTGGTGTTCCGATCGAGGGGTGTGTGTTTGGGGGGAGTCGTTATCATCTGGGATGAAACGAATCGATCGATCGATACGTCAGAGGCAGCCAGATCCAGAAAAACTCTGTCTCTCGTTAATTATCACCTCGTGGCGTCTTAACTTTCTCTGCAACTTATTTTCAGGCGTGTTGTGTTGCTGTGCCAGTCGCAGCCGAATGGGTACACCACGCTCCGCCGTCGAACCGATTCCATTTTCCTCGCTCGCTCGCTTAGCCGTATTCCTTTTTCTTATTCGCCAGCAGTTGACGTCTTTAGTTTCACCGTCGGTTCACGGAACGGGGAGCAGAGTCGCGTAGCACAAGTGTATTTTCACGATTTTTCCACATTAAGTTTTCGTATCATGGAATAAAAAAGTTTCGAGAAAACAATTTACGAGGGGCGTTCATGTATGTGTTCCAAGGATTCCATTGGGGATGAACTACCACCTTACGATGAACATAAACCTTGTCCCGTTTCTGTCAGTCTCTTTATGTTATCGAATTCTATGAAATGGTATTTTTTCGATCGTATACAAAGTGATGCTGATGTGTTCGGTGGTAATAATACATTACGATAGTATCAACCCGAGAACGGCATAGGATCACCGGTGATCTCGTATGAAACCCAATTCTCGAGCTGAATGGTGAAATACAATGTGAAATGAATTAAAAGATGGAAACTACCGCTGAAATTATGAAGCTTGACAGCAACTTGCGTTGGTAAGTTTACACTGGTTATTAAAGAGAATTGTCGTCTGGCGAGCTGATAACATCATTCTAGGGTTAAGAGATCACGACGATCGATTTAACGCTTACACGAAGAGGTTCTATTCTTATTTATCACGCGATCGAATTTCGGTGATTGTTCTCGTTAAGAAATTAATTATAAATTCGCAACAATCTCTCAACGATTAATAACACGGTAATTAAACGCTGAGGCACACACAGGTGTCCGTAGTTCGTTAATCAGAGTCGTTGGTTTCCTTCATCACTCGACTGATCCAGCGAACGTAGTTCGACAGTTTCGCGTATATTCCGAATTTCCCGCGTTTCCCACAGCCTTCGCCGAAACTGGTGATCCCGAAAATGGTCCACGGATGATCGGGTCTTTTGGGATCTCGACAGAGAAGCGGACCTCCGCTGTCACCGGCGCAAGAATCCATCTTTCCGCGTCGATATCCCGCGCAGAACATATTGTCAGTGATCCTGTAATCCATGTAAACGTCACGGCAGGCTTCGGAGGATACTATCGGTATCTGAAACGCAAATGAATGGTATTAATTATTTCCATCAGACAACAAACGATAGTTTAAGGATAATTTTTATTCATAGTTTCCTTTTAGCAGAATTTTTGACTTCACAAAAACTCTGAATTAGAATTCTTTGTTTGGTTACATCTGCGAAGATAAATTGTGCTTATGTTGGACGATACCTGAGCCTGATGCAAAACGTCGGTACCGAAGTCATCGGTGACTCGCGACTTTCCCCAGCCGATGATCGTGCACAGCTGATTGGCGGGTAAAGGTTGGTTAGGCGCTGGTAGACAAGCGATACCTCTCGACGGAGACGCGGTCAAACTGATTGGAAGGTGCAGCATCGCTATGTCATTGTCCACAGTGTCCGGGTCATATTCAGGGTGTACCTTGAATGAGTCTACCTGAATTTCGAAAGAAAAGATGTATTAGGAACGCTAGAATCTACTTTAAAAAATAAACACTCTATTTCTCTGAATCTGACTGGTGTTGAAGATTTACAAAATTCTATAGAAATGGGGCTCAATCGTGAAAAAGAATGATCGATATATTGGTGATTCTGTCGGGTTACGTGGTAAATATAACTTTTTAGATATAGGTATACTATTGACTGTAGTATTGTTGGAACTCTTGAATTTGTCAGTAATAAGTACCCTCATCTCCAGCTCCGTGCCTTCCTTCACAGTCAAATCGTGTTCCCCAATACGAACATAAAGACGCCTCCTGATGCAGTGTGCTGCAGTCAACACCCACCTTGGCGAGATCAGTGTACCTCCGCAAAAAGCTTCCTATAAAAATTCATCTATCAGTAAGAATGACAAATTATTGATATTTTAAACCATTAGAAATACATACATGAAATCTGTTCAATACTGCAACTTGCCAGGGCCAACTTCCCCGGGTTGCTGGACGTCCGCCTATAATTCTTGTGAAATACGAGAGCCGAGAATTCTTGTGGGTACTGGCAAGTCCACACTTCCAAGCATGAGAATTTTTTTCGGGGATGAAACTGTCGACGGTATTGGGGTTCAATTCGAATTCGTCCAATACCATATCTGTAAACGATTCAATGGATTGCTTTATTTACCGAAAATCAAGGAACGTAGAATTTGTTTAATTATTATTGGGCTTACCGTCACTGTCTTCTTCTTGGCTCCCACGGATCTTCCGATGGATCCATCTTTGGCAGAAGCTACCCTCCACGTAGCAATAGGCGCTCTCCCTTATTACGTCACGACCGCAAATTCCGGGCTTCTTGCACCACCTTCATAAAAAATTCGGTGAATAATTATCTATTCTCATACGATATTCGTTTTGTTTATAAGAAGTTTGAACTAGTTTTACCTGTGACGTTGAGTCGTGCACAGCCTTGTGCAAGGTGACCACTTGCTCCACTTCCCATAATGTCCCACAGACTTGTCCTTGACGTCTTTCCCCCTTCTTTCCCCTTGCCTGGGCTCGGCATCTTTTTTCGGTACCTGATGTAGTATAAAAATTGTTGAAAATTAATGTATAATAAATAATTGTTGAATCTGAAGGTTGAGGATATTAAAATTCCACCTGTACAACGTGAAACTTGTCCTTCCGTCGATGTCCCCGTCTCTGTCGTTGCTTGCATCGTCTCCATCTACCTTTTCTGTTGTGCTGACAGGTACGCTCCTCCTACGATTAAAAAATACATTTTATGTCATACTCGTTTTACCAGCAGTGAATTTAGAAATGAATTTTTTTTTTCCTAAACCCACCCTGTGTAGCGTGGTTCCACATTTCTTCTTCACTCGACACCTTCGAACGCGGTTCTGCGTGCAATGGCGGTCGCACACGGACCATTCGCTCCAGTTCGTGAAGAAGGACAATCTCGAGGACTCTGTAAAAAATAATTTCTCTCGATAATATAAATCAGTAATCGAAACGGAATGAGTTTTAAGTCAAAACAAAGTTCTGATATTCTTCTTCGTTTGTCGAACGATTTTACGAAAACTATTCCGTAATTAATAGCAGAATATTTTCAAAACTACTCACTGTTATTTGGTAATTGTTCCAGGACAGAGTCTCCGTCGAGCACGCGTACCCAGCTCGAATTATTGTTCCCGTCGGTCACGAGCGTCCTGTTCCCGCTCTAAAATTAGCACAAAGGCAGCCGTAATTAATCATTTACACCGCGACGACAGTTTCGAAGCGTGACTTTGCATATTTGTTTCTTAAAAAGCTGAAACCATTTCACGCTAGGGGGGGGGGGATCTAATAAAAAAATCCATCCTCGTTTATAAAAGTATCCGTGACAGTGGTCTCCAGACGCGGACAAGACATTAAGCACGAGGAAAAGTAATTCCGCCACGAAGTGCACGTCCGTCACGTAGGCAGATCGTTGCAAAAACGACCTGGGATTAACAGCTGCGAACCGAAGTAATGGACGCAGCACGCCTGAAGTGTTGCGTGGATTCCAATTGAACGCGTTAACGATGATTTTCGTAATTTGCGCAGTGGACACGCGTTATTAACGTCTGTAAACCGACGATCGTTTGATGGACACAAACAGGGCAGCCTGCCAACGCAACGCCGTACGAATTTACCTCAAACCTCGGGAAAATGTCTTTCGTGGATGGCAGCGATGACAGGTTCTACTTACTTGAGCAAATACTAGTAAAACAATTGGTTCCCCACGATTAACCGTGTAATAAGGTTATATAGTTTGAACAAATTATACGTCGAAAAAGTCTCCTAACCACAGGGTTTTTCTACTTCTTCGGGTCACAAGTCTCCCTAAAGTGAAAGGAACACTCATCCAATATAACTGGAAAAAAATACTGTGTTTTGCCGTTCTACTCGGAAAAAAAATCACTATCAAAAAATCATCAAAAGAACCCACGACAATCCACTAACAAACCCCAAGATTTCTCTTCTTTCACAAAGATACATTCTAACTCGAATGTCCCGTACTAATCACGTTTTCTCGAGTGGATTGCCGTTAGCAAAGAAGAATCGTCGCGAAAAAAAAACGCCTGCGCAATTACCCGGTCTTCAGGAAAGAGTTAATAGAGCAGCGTCTCAGCGAGAGGACGTCTCGAGTATCGCGTCCAGCATTCCTCCAAGGCTGTAACGTTCAGCACGCGACGGCGCTAAACTCAATTTGCTAGCTCGTAAATGGCATCGCGACGTAACCCACCTCGGTCGCTAATCATCCGTTACACAATGTCACCGTGTTCACGCGCGTAGGCACCGCGAAATCGCAGTCGTTCCTTCCCCGCCTCCGTGGCCCTATGAGAGAGGGTTCGAGTAGAGATCTGGCCGTTCGGTCGAAAGTGGAACTGGCACAGATCACACCCTCCGTCGAACGGCCCACACGTACCCTTATTATCCTAGACAATGGAAACGCGAAACACGGCGACCAGTTACCTCATCGAGGTCGGGCTGCTTGAGAAATCGGAGACTGAATGGAGAATGATGATAGTGAATATATATTGCGCACGCGATGGTCCAACAGAAACAGAACACCTAATTGTCTCCTTTAGATGGACGGATGAAAGAAAATTGTTAGGTCTCCTTTGATGTGTCTCTGTAATACGGATCATGGGCTGGATTTTTCTCTTTAATTAGGGTCCAATTTCAGTATTTGCATCGTTAGAGATTCTAAGTCCTCTAGGTCTGTTATTATCGGGAATATTAGTATCTTGATCCTTTTGGACTATTTTATTCGAGGGATTGTGGCATTTATGATAATAAGTGTAAATGGTTAACGTTTCTAAAAGTTCTTAGATTGTTGTAGATAATTCTATGAGGAGATACTCATTTATCAAGAAGAGATATTACTAATGTTGAAGAGAGGCTAAATATGTATTTTCTTTTCTCTCTGTTCAGAGATCGTAAAGCAAAGCCCGGTTCTACGACCTAAACGTGATAGATCGTTAGTTCGTTATAAACGAAAAATGATATTCGAGATAAACGGATACTCGATTTGTCGCTACAGACGCTAATGGGATGCGAGATCTCCAGAACGATGGATTTTACGGCGCCGGTCTTGTAAGTCGCGTTGAATTCATTTAAACGAGCCACGATAATTTTGTTGTTCCCCTCGAGTTTATGATCTGGTTGGCTCTCTACGGAGAGGAAACACGCGCGTCTTGAATCCACGGAGTCTGAGAGAGTTCAGGGTTAACGATGTTCCCGTATTGCACAATTAATTTCTCCACTGGTGCTATAAAAAGAAACAGGTTCCTCAGTCGATTCTCTTCCATAGTGTGCAAGTAGTTCACCGTCTCGAAGCACCTTTTTTCCAAGTAAATTCTAATTCTTCCTACGAACAGTAGGAAATGTTTTTCATGAATGCCACAATAAAATATATTCGAACGTTCTTTCGCTTCTAGGACAATTCCCGTGGGAACGAACGCCATATTGCGGGACCAAAAGACACTCTGCACTTAAGTACAGTTACCACGTGTACATAAACTACGAGCAAATGTGCCTAGGCCAGAGCACAGTCCAGGGACCCGGTGGAATGTGCCTTGGTAGGGTGCCGTTCAGGGATGCAGCGCATTGAATGCGAAACGGTATTAAACTTGCATACGTAATGCCTGTGAATCATTTGCGGCACAGCATTCAGGAATTCACTGTGAGCCGCGTCGAATGCGCAAGCCACCCCTTACGCGACACCGTCGGTCGATCTTCGTTAAAATTTTTCGAAATCTTTCGTCCGTGAACCACGTCTTCGATCGAGTGTATTCGACCAGCCACAGTCACCCTGCGTGCTTCATCCCTCGGAATTACTTCCCTTTTACATGGCACGCGGTTTTTGCGGGGGAAACAAGAAGATGCAAGGGCACCGCTGACTTCAGCTTAGTTTGGCCATGTCCACCATACCGCATACAAATTCCTGTTGTCTTCTACCTGTCTCCACAGGGAAGAGCCTGACTCCTCCTCTCCAGTACCTTTTTTCTTTGTTCACGCTGGCCACGGAAGAAGCGACAAATTGGGCCTCGGAGCAGAACGAGACGGGATTCTTTTCGAGTTTCGAGAGCTGGAACCCTGCTTTAGCAGCTTCTATCGAATTAACGTTGAAGATCCAAGGACACCTTTTGAGGATACATTCTCTACCAAGTGTTTTTGTAGTAAAATAAATCATGGTTACTATTTCAGAGTAAATATATTAATTTTTCCAAAGAATCACCATCAGATTCCAATAATCTATTTCTTGCAGTAGTAGGTAAAGGCCTGTCATCGTCAACAAAAAAGCGAAAGATGGCACACGAAGTAAATCAAAACGCAATACAAGAAATTTCAGAGAAAAAAGCCATGTATACCCTTATGGCCAGTACCGCCGAGAAACGATATTTTACGCGGCGGCAATTTAATCAAGATTCAACAAAGTGGCAATAAGGGAGTACATCAGCCGGTAACAACCTCCGCGAAGGGAGCAGTAACTGTATAAAGCATCCCATCTTAGGCGACCAAAAACCCGCGATGAAACCATTTTCGCCGGGACGTGCTCGACAAAGCAGAGCGACCCGCCGCAAAGAAGATCGGGCAAAAAAAGAGGATGGAGGAGGCGATGGTAGAAAAAACGGATTCTTGCGGACCGACGATGGAGAGGATGGGGTGGCCAGCCAGGAGAACCGTGCAGGCAACACATGCCGAAGAAGATGGATAAGGTTCGGAAGCAATGACATTCGTTTCGCGGGCTGACGCCCCGACTATACCGTAGATGGTAGCGCGGCCGGAGTGTCCAATGTCCGAAAATGGCCGGGGATTTCTTCGACTGGTGGACTACACCACGGATTTAATACGGACTTCTGGGCTCGATGGAACGCTGCTCGCTATGGCGAGATCCCGGTCTGATTTATGTTCCCCGTTTGCGCGCGCGCGATCCGAAGGCCAAGGTCCTCCGTCCACCTACTATGGTCAGGATGAAGTCTCGGGCCGCGGCGCGACATCGCGTAAATCCTGCCGCGTATGTCCGCTTCATGAGAATTCCGCGAATGAACGCCGCCGCGAGCGAACGTTTACTTCACTTTCTGTTCACGGTTCTTCGTCCAGGTGGGAGCAACAATCGCGAGACGGAACAACGGCTTCGAAATTGCCGGAACGTCTGGAGCTTGCCACTTGTCGACCGTAGAGACTTTGATTGGACAGAGAAATCTGGAATCTATTTCAGTTTTTTAATGAGCTTTGAAAGTTTTTTTTTGTTCTTGATAGTGTGTTGTACGATAAATCCTCGATGAGTATTTCGAAGGCTCCTCGGCACTGAACAATTGAATATTTCATAAACTACTGGCCGTATGCGGCTGAAAGAAATATCATTGGCTTCTGAATTCCAAACTCTAGCGCTTTGCTAAACCTTGTTGAAAAGTCAGCGTTACACCTGGGGACCTCTCCTGGTTAGTACTGAGGTGCCTTCGAACACTCATCCAGGATTTACTGTATGTATGCAACTAAATCTTCTCCCGTATCGAATGGTTAAATCACTTCCGGCATGGATGAGTATTTGGATGAGGAATGAGGTAACCGTTAAGTGGAAATAGATTTCGTGCTCCTCCTTAAAGGCCTAATGGTCTTTCAATCGTGACGACACGGTCAGAAGAGCATCGGGAAGGTCGTCGTCATAATGTTCCGCGCGATGTTGCACGGATCTCTTTACGCTTATCCCGTCCGCGACGATTCAGCGGAACGAGCTCGTCATGCAATGCTCGTCTCTTCCGCGAAGACTTCGAGCGTTTTGCGAAAGAACGCGCTCGGCCCCGAACGACGCTTCGAGATTCACGATCCGTGGGTCGACTGATCTAAACGATCCGTTGTGTTGGCCTGTCACGTGTGCGCGGTCATTAGACGACTCGAGTATATCGTCTTAATTCTTAAGCCTTTTCAGAACTTGAAAAGAGGCAATAAAATAGATTTCCCCGATTATACTGATATACTTTTAAAAGAGACAATAAAATATATTTCCCTGGTTATGAAATAGATTGAAGTCTGATCTCAAGTCGTGCAATTTATATTCTTCCCGTTTCGTGAGAAGTAATTGCAAGTGGGAGGAGCAACTTGGAACAGTCGATTGATTTCACTCCCACTGACAAAGCACTTCACAAACATCAGTACCTTCCAGTAATCCCAAGTGATGGATCGGTCATA